GCGGGCAGCGGGTGTGTCTCTCTCTCTCTCTCTCTCTCTCTCTCTCTCTCTCTCTCTCTCTCTCTCTCTCTCGGCTGGCTAGAAGTGCTCAGGCTAACGCTCAGACTTAAGGGGCTGCCGGAGGTGATGAATAATGCCACTGCCACCTGCTACCCAGCTCAGCTCCCCATTCCCGCCAGCTGGCCACATCGGGCTGAGATTCTGACAGCCTGGCAGACAGTGAGGTTGGGGGTGACCTGGTGGCTTCCCCTCAGCCCTTAAGGACAGATGTCCGAGAGGTGGGGGTGGCCCCCATCGCTGGCACTTCTGGGAGGCGCCCAGCGGACCGGGCGCCCTGGGTGGGCGGCTCCTGCGCGCTGGGTTGAGCCAGGAAGGCCGCCGCCTCAGACCAGAGACCTAGAGAGCTTCGTCGCCCTGCGAGGATGCTCTCTAGACTTGAGAGAGAAGGGAAAGACAAGGCCCCGAGGAAAGGAACCGTCGGGATTTTGTGTGTCTGTGCGTCTGTGATTTAATGGAGGCAACCAGTTCTCGGGAAGACTGGGTGAGCCGAGGAAACGCGCGCGGGGGCGCACAAGTCAAAACGGGGCCAACTAAGGCGTGTCGGGGAGTCCTGGGGACCGCCACCTGGTTAACACCAACCAGGGCACAAAACAGCCCCCCGGGTGGGGAGAGATGCTCACCTTGCTTATCTGTTGGCAAGAAGCAAATACAAAAGATAAGATAACGTGATGTCGCTTACAACGGTGGCTCTTTCATTAGCCAATTTCACCTTCCCGCAACACGCGTGCGAACCTTTGGAACTTTCATTTGCGGCATGTTGGCGCCCCCTGGCCGTGTTTGGATTGCTCTCGTGCTCGCCTGTAACCCAGCAAAGAAAAGGACTGAGTTGCAGGTTTCCCTCCCGGGTGGATCTGCCCTCCTGACCTGGGCCTCCATTCGATCAGGGGCAAGGTTGTCCCCCAAAATCGGGACGACAAAACGCATATTGAGGGGGACCGACGCCAAAGGCAAGTGCATCCGCATTCAACCTGGAAGAGGTAAGCCTATTTTTGATTAACAGGAAAAAACCTTACCTGAGCTTAACTGCATTTCAGTGGGGTGGCCATGTCAACCCAGTTCTGTGCCAGAGGTTTTGTGGTGGAAATACCCAACGGAGCAGATATTTACAGGTTACATGAGGCTGCACCAAATGAGAGCTGGAAATGTTCACATTTTAACCAAAGGGCGATATGGGCAAAGTAGGGATTTTGTTGGCTCTCATCGCGTTGCCATGGAAGTCACCAAAGGCCTCCTACTGTTTCCAGGCTCCTTGGCATTGCAGGTCCTGTCATTCAGACTCACTGGGGGTGAGAGGGCAGCGCTCAGCAAGCCAAATGCTCGTTTATTAACTTACGGCAAAGGCAGTCGCGTCTTCATTTCAGCTGATCAACAGAAAGCCATGATCTTAGAAAAACACACTGAGGTCAGAGTTGCACATTCTCAACTTCTTGCTTTGGGCTGATCATTTTCTGTTGTTGGGTGCACTGTAGGGTGTGTAACATCATTGCTGTCCTACCCACTAGTTACCAGTAACACACACCACCACCACCACATATGTCCCACAGTTATGACAATCAAAAATGTCTCCTGACATTGCTAAATGTCCCCTGGGAGGCAAAAATCACCCCAAGTCAAAAAATACTGGGCTATAAAATTTTAAACCATTGTGAGCAAGTCTCTAAGTTTTTACCCTATCCAATTAGGTGAGCATTTGCAATTTTATACTCAAGGCATTTATTGAGTATATTTGTTAGGGTATCAGAGTAGTTATTTCATTTAGCATTCCATTTTTAGCCCTGTGATCTTACAGGCATGAAAATCTTCTTAAAATTAGTAAATATATATAAATACCAGATGTCATGTTCTGTTTTCTCCTCTACCAATTTTTCAAAGAAAAAAAGACAACATAAAAATTAATGTTTGGTGTACCTTCAGTGCTTCCGGCTAAATTTTCATGACAGGGAAAACAAGCCTTTCAAGGGTGTGATTGGAATACAGATCATGGGTTTCCATTGAAATGAGAGGCAAAAGCTTACACCAGTGAGGCTGGGGTCTCCTCAATTTTGTCTTCCATCAGATTTAGCTGTTCTCTTAAAATATTTTAAGGCATTCTGCTTTAATTAAATAATGATGAAACTAGCTGACAATGCTATTAGCTTAAAGAATGGAACCTTTTCCAGAACTCGTATAAACATGTATCAAATGGTAGCCAAAATGTTTCATTGCAGTACAGTTCTATATAAAGTCCAATTTGGTGATATTTTTAGTTGTTCATCTAAGATCTTTTGAAACACACACCTAAGGAATTAATGACTAAGCATTTGAAGCTCTGCAGTCTAGAAAATTGTTAATATTAACTATTGTGGATGTCACTGGCTATTGAGATTATGGACCTGGGAGCATATATTAAAGATGCAAATTCTAATAAATTAAATTACCTTTCAACATTACATCATGAAAATAAAAACTGTTTTACTCTCCAAATGAAATAAATATATTTTAATAAACAAAGCTGGACTTTTTGGGTTGTGAAATGAATTCCATTGTCATTTTCAATTACCTACATAATTGGTTTCGGTGAATCCTAACCTGCACTATGAAAATATTTATCAAAAGGATACATTACTCAGTGACTACTGATTTTCGCTGAAGTATTCGCCATAGAATTACTTGCAATATAATGGACTTATCATCACCTAAGCTACTAGTCAGTTTAGCAAAACTTTGGTGTGTGTTCGCCTTTTCAAATAGTCCCTGTTATGTGTCAATGGAGAGTCCACAATAATCCTTTCGAGCTCATCTCACCTCCAAAACTCACCCCCAACTTCCCCTTTCCTATCTCCCATATCACCCACCGACGCCTGGCATCCTCCTCAGTTCCCCATACTTTCCCCCTAAATAGTAAAAAGAGGATTAACGTCCCCAATAAAAGATGCAGACCAACAGGAATGAAGCAAAAGCCTAGTGCCAACATCATCACCCCAGTGTTACCACCGCCGCCTTTGCTGGGATCGTCCTGGCTGGCTCCTGTTTAAGGTCACTGAATTAGCCGGAGCACCCCGAGACCCATGCAGAGAATTTAATAAATGTAGCTCTACTGGTAAGTGTTGGCTAGAGGACTGAATTGTCTTGAGTTTGCTCACAAGATCTCATCTACAAATTGAAAGCTCAATCAAGGCCAGATAGCCGGCATTATAGTATGAAAATGTACAGCTTTTCCCCGCTAAATATATTTATAATTTTTAATCAAAGACAAATATTGAAATCTGTAGAGTCTTTATTTCATGTTTCTCCCTTCTTACAACCACCTCCCCCTGCTCCCTCCATTATTACAGCCTCACCATTCACATAGCCCGGAGAAAAGACTTTCTCAGGTTCACTCAGCAGTCCCCAAGCAGGACAGTGGTAATATCTGGAGGCATTTGGAAGGACGGGAGCATAAGAGAGCAAAGTACCACTGGCCTCTGATGGATAAAGATCAGGATTGCTACGCAACATCCTACAGTGCACACGGAGCAGCCCCTCATCAGGCAATTATCCAGCCCAAAATGTCAAAAGGAGTGTGAGAAACCTGCGTTTCAAAGCCCATGCCGTGGGGAAACGCCTGGTTTTTGTGCAGTGCTGCCAGGGGCATCGCCGCTCGCTGTGGTTCTTCAGCAGGCAGCTGGTTGGGAGGCACAGAGATGAGCAGAGTTCTCCTCTGGGCAGGGGCCTGCTCGGTGCCCTGAGCCCTGTACTGACCACCTTCCTGGGCTGGAGCCCAAATCCAGGCAGTCACTGGAGGGCAGTGCCAAAGATTCACACCGGGGATGGTGGACTCCACTCTCTGTTACTACACGCTGAGCCACTGGAGGAAAACAGATTAGCTTGGGTTCCCTGTTTCACGTCCCTCTTATGTTCTGTGAAAGGATAGCAGGGAACCTGAGAAAATGTGTGTTTACTATGAAGTGCTGGCCCTGAAATGGAAGGAGCAACCTGCCCTTGGCACGGACACTAGGAACATTTTTGCCCAGGATAAAAGGCGGCTGAAAAGCAACCTTAGACTCTGCCTGAAGAGTTCTCATTCCCAACTCCATTCTCCCTGTCATCGACCTCAATTTCCAAAGTACTCTCTCTACTCTCCAGCGCTTTCTATTCAGAAAACGCACAAAACCAGTGACAGACGGATGTTTCCTCACTAGCCAGCAAGGGCTCTTTCCAGGCTGTGCCTACCTGTTCCTACAGACACAGGGCCTGGGATTAGAGTGAGGGAGCTCAGTGTTGGGAAACAGTGCTTAATACTTTGGCTGCCCTTCCCCCGTAATCACCCACTAAACCCTTCAAAGAACAAGTTACTTTACAGTGGCTAAAGAATGTTGTAGAACAATTGTTCACATGGCTCTCATCCTGAATACATGAGATTGTAGAGGCTCCAGTGCTCCATAGCGCTGTCTCGCCCCGTTCCTTGTTATTACCCTATTCTTCTCTCAGATCAGCTCCTGCTGGTAATGAAAATGGTTTAAACTTAACTCCAACACAGGGAATGGCGCCCAAAATAAATTGTTAAATGCACGAGCAAGTTGCCAAGCAGAATGCAGAGGATGCATAATTCTTGCTGTGAAGTAGTGAGGGATGCTGTTTTCCCGATGACTCCAAGTGCAAATGCTGTCCAACATCTGCTTAGCTCTGCCCTGTGGACAGACTCCCAAAGACTCGCAGATGCCAGAACCCAACTGCACCCCACGCCCAGGAGCCTCCTCGGGTAAGCTCAGCTCATTGTCAGAAAGAAGGACTTCTCTCCAAACCAAAAAAAGTAAGACAATGAGAAAGGAGAGCCAGGCTTACAGTGTACGCAGGGAAACGCTGGCAGAAACAGTTGAGGATATCTAAACAAACAAAACCAAAAGAGAAAAGCAGCTACTGTGTCAGCAGTTTGCGGGGTGACCCAATGCCATCTACGAAAATGAGGCAGCCTGTCACCGTGACGGACCATGGTATTTGACACAACAAGAAAATCACAGTTCTTGTCCCTGTTCCTGAAGGACTTGGAACAAAATAAAAAATAATAATAAAGCAATTTCATTGCAATTAAAATATCTGATCAAAATCAAACAATGAAGAAAGATGTCAGAAACAACTTTTTAGGTGCCTAGAGCAAGTTGGTGAACAGGTGGTATGGAGTTGCTTCAGTGTGCTCTAAATCAACACACAGGGAAATGTTTGCAGGATTTCAGCCCCATCTGTCGCTCTCACTGAGAACTGGAGTCATGTCAGAGGTGGGGCGGAGGCTGCTCAGCTTTCCAGCACCATGAACGAGTGCTTTTGCAATGACAATTCGTTACTTTGAGAAGGATATATAATTTTGTGCGTTGTTCAGGGGACCTGTTCCGGGCTGAGAAATCACTGTTTAGGGATTGCCTCCTCATCAGCTTTCTCTGCACTCTGTATTTGAACTCCACACTTCTGTTTCTTGCATTTTTCTGCTTCTTCGCCTTTAAATGAGTGAATGGAGAATGTGGCCCTAGCCCTGGCACCCTTTTGGCTGTCTGCCTAGGTCTCAGAGGCATCCCACTCTCACCCACTTCTAATGCAAAAGTCCTCCCCACTCATGATGGCAACAGCAAGGAGATGTTAGTCTACAGTTAACACCTACTGTACCATCCATACGTTAACTTACTTTTGCATGGATGGGCCAGTAGTCAACACAAAGTTCTGTTCTCTATACAACATTGGTTTTTGTCTTTCTCGATCTATCTGAATGATCTAATACACAGCATTGCTGCTGAATCAAAGTCACTTAAGCATTTTATCTTCTACTGAAGGCCAATTAACTTCCTTTCTGTTTTTTTGACTTCTAATCACGCTGCTGTGACAGCTTTAAACACATAGTTCTCATCTTTTAAAATATTTCCTCAGTTGAAATTTCTAGCAATGGGATCCATCAATCATTGCTATGCTGATTTTTATGGTTTCTGTCCTCCACTGAGAGTTTAAAATTCTGTGTAACCAGAAAAATTTAACAAAACCTGTTTCCCCAGCAACACCACCAGTACATGTCACATAAATGTTTAGGTGCAAAATGGCTTTAAGCTGCGTATATTTAATTACCGACAAGAATTGACTTTGTTTCTCCAATCTTGCTTCACTGTTTGGGTTCCGTCTGGGAAAACTGATTCCATTCTTGCAGACTGGTTCTCTGTGACATCTGTTGAACTCCACTGGACTATGACCAGGGGAGATGGAACATCTCAGTGGCTGAGTTGACAAGCTTGGTTTTTAGGTAGTAATGGTTCCAAATCCTAATTATGCTTCCACTTTCTAGCTTTTCTTATTTTGAACATAATCCTTCCTGATTTTTAGCCTTAGTCTTTTTCATGTGGAAAATGGGAAAATTCCAACCTCACTGCATTGTTCTGAGGATTCTGTAAGAAAATGTATTTAAAGCTCTTAGCCAATTCATAAAACACAGTCAGCAAATGTGTCCTATGAACCTGATTGTCAGGCGCCACCAGTAGGACCACTAAGGAAGAGATAAAATAAGAATTGAGTACTGTATCAGGGGTTGCAGGAGGGCGCAGCTAGTTATAATCAAACACCTGAATAATACAGCTATGTTTGCCCAAGGAATTTAGCTCCACGCTTCCTGGCAGCCAAAACAAAAGATGAAAATATTATGGACTATTTATTAATTTATCTAATAAAAGCAAACATTTTTGTGTCAGGAGGGACAAATCTTCCTACCAGTCAGCTTTAAGAGGAATGTGTTGCTAGATTCCTTTATGTAAAGGACACTGAATTTCATAAAGGACAATTTTCAATGATTATTTTTACTGCAACTGACTTCAAGTACTGTGTTGACAGAAAAATAATAAGAAATATTTGTATTTTAAGGTCTTCTTCTTCTCCCTCTCTTCCTCCTCCTCCCCTTCCTCCTCTTCATCCTCCTAAACTTGTGTTTTGGCCCAAGTAAAGGGTTCCCCCATTTGTGTCTAAAGGGGTGCCATGGAAGTCTGGCAGTGGACCCCCCATATCTTGTTGGCAGCTGCTTAAAATCAGCTGGAGGGTCTACAGAAGGGAAGCCCCAAGGGCGGGAATCAAAGGAGCCATAAGTGGCTCCTGGGGAACAAGCAGGGACAGGAAGGGAGGTGATAGGCGTGAGGTCCTGCTGTGCACAGCTCCCTCTGGGGAGGAGTGAGGGCCTTGCTGCAGCGCCAGGTCTGGGAGAGAAGCAGACACAAACCTTTCGCCAAAAGCTGAGAGAAATAGGCTTGAACTCAAGGATAAATGTAACAAGTAGAAAGTTTAAAAATACTACCCACTGCATAAATCTATTTTCATACTATATTTTTAAAGTTGTTATCTGATCATCTCAAAGGTAGTGATACTTTTTAAAAAAGAAATTTAAAACTAAGGTTAAACATAGAGCCCCTGCCTTCAAAAATATGCAATCTAATGAGACATTTATAACTTAGAAAGAGCCAAGTAGTGACTAGTTTAGGTTTTGCAAGCCATGTGACTTCTGTAGGGCAATAGGCAACTCTGCCATTATCTGAAGAAAGCGGCCATAGATCATGTGAAAACCAATGGACCTGGCTGTGTGCCAATAAAGCTTTATTTACAAAAAAACAAACGAACACGTGGCAGGTCAGCTTTGACACAGAGCTACTGTTTGCCCACTGCTGGTCTAGATTAATAACAATTTCCTCCCGCTAAAATCACCAATCCCTATCTTTTCTTTTCACTAAGCTAAACTCTATACCTTCTTTCAAATCTTCAAATCCATTCAGATTTTTTTTATCCCTTCACAACATTTATGACTGACACACAAGGTGATGAAAATTTTGTATTTAATCCCGATTTCCTTTAAAAGAGGCTTATGCTTTCTTCTGAGCTTTCTTTTATTTAAATCTCATAATTTCACACTTATTATCCCATAATTGAAAGCTAGCTTGAAATATTTGTCAGTCTGGTCTGGAATTACCTTTTTGCAAAGAAGCAAAATAGGGGTGGGGGGGGGGTGCAAGTGAAGTCAGCCAACCAGAAGAGAATAAGCCATAACACATCTTAGAGGGAAATAAAATATTACGCATAATAAATACCAGACTTGGTGCAGACATTTTTCTGAAAGGAGCAGTTTTAAATATTATACAATAAAAAGCGTTTCCTTCATGATACAGGATATCGGGTGAACTCTGGGTAGATACATAGGCACAGATCTGTTTCCATTTATCTTAGGCTCTTTCCTGGAGATCGTGGTTTATAATTTTGAATCTGAGTTTAATTCCTGCTCTATTATTCAATGTTGAGGGCTGTTCAGAGGTTAAGTCTACTTCAAATCTAAAATGCAGTTGAAACAATAGATTGAGACTCTGTCTTTTTTAATCACTGACATTTAGAGCAGGAAGAAACCACGTGACCCAGGAATGCACAGCCAACACCACCTCCTGCGTCCAGGGTGGACATCACTAATCAATCAATATCATTCAATCACAGCATTTTTTGTAGCCAACAAATTCTTTGTAATATTATATACC